GGTTCTGCAAAATTTGTGGATATTCTCATGTGGCGTTCTTGTAATTTTGTGGTTTGATAAGGTCTATTATATATTTTGCCCTTATTGTGAGTAATGCATGATTGTTCAATCAAGTTTTTTTGTTTTATTTTGTTTTGGTACTGGGGATTGAACTCAGGAGCTTGTGCTTGTGAGGCACGTGTGGTGCCACTGAGCTACATCCTTGGCCGTAAATCATGTATTTTGTTGAGGTAGTTCTTCCAACTGCATTCTAAATTGTAATGTATACATTATGTTGCAGTTTGTATATATGCATTTCATAGATGAGAATTTGATTTTGGCATTTATGCGTGAACATTTGGACCATACTTTATTATGTTCTCTTAAAATCTTATACCTTATTGTTCATCCTTGTTGAATAATGAATGCATAACTTTCTGAATGTTTTAATCAATAGTTCTAAAACTTCATTTTTGCTCTAATATTGACCAGGCTTTTTTCAATTAAGTGCTTCATTGTAACTTCCAATTAAATAGGTTCTGTAAAATTTTAAGATTAGAGGAACTAGGAATTATTTTTCCAAATAGTAGATGAGAAGTGTTACATGGTCTAAGTCCCCAGAGAATGCATTGAAACAGTATGTGAGTGTGCAGTTTCAGGTAGCAAATGAATTTCAAATTGATCAGTATTTTTCTTTTTTTAAATCTACTTTGTCAATAATGTTAATATATGACATATATGTGTGTGTGTGTGTGTGTGTGTGTGTGTGTCTGAAAAGAACAACTACATAAAAAAATCTGTATTTTGACCCTTTTTGTACATCTAAAACAACAAAGAGCTAAAACTAAAATTAACTAGTTTTTCAACAGTTTAAGTTCACAGAAAATAAGGTTGGGTATGGGTGGGTGGGTGTCCGTGAGTGCATTTGTCCATACTATGCTTTGGTTTATTTCACTTAATTTCAGTAGAAATAATTCTATGTGAATGAAGAAACATATTACCTAGCTATGGTTTTAATACCCTATTTAGTCAATATCTTTTAGTTTTGCCTCATCCTTCTCTTCTCCTTCTTCCTCTCCCTATAACAGCAACCTAGAAATTTGAAGTCTCCTAGTATCAGAGTTCCTTCCTTACATGTGACCTACTGCACCTATAAGTAAACACCTGGCCCTCATCACATTGGCCTATGTTGACCCTCAAGGGACAGCTGGAAGGCACTTCCCTGCTACTTTTTACTGTCTGTAGATCAAGGGTCTGGCATGTTCCATTAGTATATGTGTATCAGTGCCAAGCTAACGTGTCTCCTTGCAAGTAGGGTAAAATTTGAGGTGCTGTTCACATTCTGGCTCAGCACACTGATGGAATTGTAAACTCAAATGCCTTGTGAGAACTAGACATGGGGCATGCATTGATAGAAGTATGTCAGGTTTAAGATAAGTGACAAATGAAAATAAACCTTAATGTTAGGAATGTCATAGGAAATACTGGGAAGTGAAGCAACTGAGGAGCAGTATCTTCTGATGGAGTATCATACTTTAAAAATACAATCAGTGTGATGTGAGAGCACTGTCTAGATTAATCTTAACTCCTGGGAGTAGGGTCTAGCCCTTTGATCACTATTTAGTCTTCTCTATGCTGTATGGTGAGATACTCCAGGACAGGGGTGATGTTTTGTTTCTTGATACCCATGGAAACACTTGTCACAGTACCTAAGTAGGCACTCATTTTTATTTTCCAAATCAGAAACTCTTAGCAAGTCGTATATTATAAAACTAAACTTTAGAATTCACATTAAGAATAAACATTAAGAATTCACAATATGATGCCAAAAAGCAATGAAACTTTGCCATAAGTTTTACCATAATAAGAACTAAGGAAGATTAGGGAAACATCATATTTTCTTTTTTTTTTAACCAGTCTTATATAGTCCTTGGTCTTTTTATGTGTCTCAACAATTTATTTTAATTCTACTAGTACCACAATTATACTTTTACTATCCATGTTTATGCACAGCTTCTTACATAGAATAGAGATTTTATGGACAATATTTAATGATAAATGTTTTGTGAATCTGGTGTAATAATTGAAAAACTCCAATTCTGTACTATTTCTTATATGTACAATATAGTTAGAGATGGAGTGAAAAGTGTAGATTTTTCTGACCAAATCAGAGATATATTTCATAGAGATTGGTTTCAGGGTGGTGTAAGCAGTTCTAAAGATGATTGAAAGCCATATTGTGTGGAGTTCAGCAAATCTGTCCTACATGTTAGTTTAGAAGTTTGAGATTCTAGCTGACTTTCAAGGAGTTCTGAAATAGATTGTATGATATATTAGGTGTTTGTCTGAACATATTTAAAGGAGTTAACTGTATCAGTTTTTGATCTGGTATACCATCAGGCCAAAAGTGAACTCTTAAACAATGTCTTTCATTTTATTTCTGTACTTTTGACTCTGGAAAAACTAAATGAAAAATAAGTATCTAAAGTAGAAAGAGAAATGTAAATATTTGTTCTTTGAAGAACTGTTAGTAGATAGCAAGAAATAATTTTTTCATGGCTGAATTAAAAAATACATCAAGATGTATGAGATTACTATAGGCTAGTTGTAAAATACTGTGTGATTAATTGCCAATTGAGAAAAATATACAGATGATAGGCTTTTGATTTATGGCAATAACTAAAGAGTGCTTTTTTTCCATACAGTATTTACATAAGTATATTTTATCTTGTTAAGCAGTAAGCACACCATTGTGGAACTAATCAAAACTGCCACATTAGAAAATATTTGCATCCTTCTTAGTCAGCTTTCTCTAACTGCATCAGAATATCTGAGTTTGACAATTTTAAAGGAGGAAATGTTTATTTTGACTCACAGTTTCAGAGGTTTCAGTCCATGGGCATTTGGCCCAGTGTCCTTGTTTTGGGCCTGTGGTAGCACAGCACTTCATATAGTGGTGGGCGTGCATGACAGGAGAAGTGTATCATCTCTCAGTGTCCAGAAAGCAAAGATAGAGTTAGGAAGGGTCTCTTTAGGGACAGCTCTCTGATGACCCAAGTTCCTCCCATGAGGTACCATCTCTTCAAGGTTTCACCATTTCTCAATAGCAATAACTGGTATGGATCATCGGGGGACATTTAAGATCTAAATCATAATAGCATTGTACCTCCTAATCTCCCATTCCTTTATGCAATCAGCTTTCCCCATTCTGCTGTGCCTAGATGCTGGCAACACAAAACTCTTGGCTTTCCCTGTCCCTTTCTAGAATGCATATTGCAAGTTAATTAAGTATGTAGCCTTTTGAGTCACTTAATATAATGCTTTTGAGATTCACAACTATTGTATAGCATTTCTTTGTTCCTTTTTATTGTTGAGTGGTATTCCCTTGAATAGATGTAATGTAATTTGTTTATTCGGCAGTTGAAGAATATATAGGTAGTTTCATGTTTGAGAGATTATGAGTAAGGCTTATATAATTTTTATTGTGTTTGTGTAGACATACAGCGTGCCTTCATTTCTTTTGGTTAAACAAATTTTTCCACGTAGCATTGCCACATCACGTAGTGGTATGCGTTTCCCTTTCTAAGGGGCTCTTGAGTCAGTTTCCAACGTGGTGTTCCATTTCAGATCACAGAAGTAATGCGTTAGAGTCCCGGGTGCTTCACACAGAATATGTGCCTTTTATAAATTTTAGACAAGAGTTTCTGTTGAATTTTTTGAAGACGCAGTGTATTGAAAGTTAATATTTTGGAATTTCGTATTATTTTTGAGGAGTACAACTGATAAATGGAAATTGAGTCACAGGTTAAATTAATTCCTTTTTTATGAATTAAAAGAACCTAAAATGTGCACACATGTGCATGTGTGTGTGTGTGATCTGGTAGTTTCCAGATCATTTGAAATTTCAGTTAATAATTACCTTTCTAAATATTTGAAAGCATCAGTTGAGGCAACTCCTTAGAGCCTTGTCAGTGTTTGAGCCTGAAAGTTCCAGTGTAGCTAACAGGGCCATTTCATCTTATTTGCAGCATTCTACCAGCCACAAAAAGAACTTTGAGGAGTTAGTTTACTTCACAAAATTTCCCAGTCAGAGATAGTTCTAGTAGAGAAGTAAGTCACTGAATTTCCAATTGCCCTTTAAGTCATTCAGTAAAGCACTATTAGAACTTCCGCATAAAATTTGGCTTCCCCAGTTTCCACTGTTGCAGTAAGGTCTGGCATGCAGCGTTCAATATTTGTATTTTAATATGATTCCATTCATTCTGGAAACAATGCCAGAAATGAAAGTAAAGTGGTATTCCTCAGCAAAGTATGCAGCAACTTTATTTACATAAGTGTTAAAATGTTTCATCATGATTCAGTCCAGTCAATATCTGCCAGATTCTCTAGTAGTTTGTTAATATTTCCTGTTTTATTGGGGGTTTAGTGGAATTGCAGCTCCAGTAACAGCACAAATATTTTCTGACTTTGTGGTGAGTAATGTGGCTCAAAAGGATATTTAATGAAGATTACCCAGTTCCATAAAATGTAACTGGAGGTTTGTATGGGAGAAACTTTAAAGCCTTTGAAAATGTTAGTAAGTAAGTAAAAAAAAAAAATGGATTTCTAAAAGGATGAGAACGACCAACTTGGAAAATAGTTAAACTACTGATGGGTAAAGGCAAAAATAGCAGAGGGGGCAATAAATCGCCTTTAGACACTTAAAGGTTCACAAGGAGCACAAAGCAAATCCAGAAAGTTGAAAGTTACGGGAATGTAGTTATAATCTGAATTAAGGAAATTTCAAGAAGTTGGTTGTTATCCAAACCAGAATGAGCTCCATGGGACGAAGGACCCAATAGTAATATTTCCTGTTCTTGGAAGAACCCAAGGGGAGGTAAGATGGTTGGAGACCATTGCAAAGTGTCTTTTTAGAGGCTTGGAAGGAGTTATCATTGAAGAAATTCTGAATTCCTTTTCCACCACGAGTTCCCTTAACTTAATTTCCTGCACTGTCAACAGCTTCCTTCTGTTTTCCTTAGATCCTGGTGGAGGCTTCAGTGGGAGATGGCTTCACCGGAGATATTGCAATTGATGATTTGTCATTCATGGACTGCAAACTCCACATAGGTAAGGGGAAACATTTGAGCCACTGCTGTAGTTCCAAACTTGTTTTCTTTGGAAATACTGCAGAGGAAATCTGTATTTCATTTTTACAAATATTCTAAAATGTCAGCACTTTTATTGACTCTTATAGCTATTAACCATGAAAAAAAAAAACTCTTGTAAATCTTTGCTAGTTCTTAGTCTTAAAATATTTTCAGGCTTGGTAAAGATGTTTGGATCAGTTATATCTCTGTCCTACCCCATACAAAATACTAGGAAGTCATATGTGAAATTATGCCATAATTTTATTTTTTTGAGAGGTTAAAAGCAAACCGGTTACCTTATAATTACATTGTGTTTGAGACTTTGTAGCTCTCAGTTACCTTCAGGGATCTTTTACTTTTGGATTGCACTTTAAATTTCCTATAATTTAATCATTTGATTTCTGAGTTATAGATTTGTATTAAAGACAGAATACATTATTCTCAGGTTCACGTCTACCTGTCCCCAGAATGCTAGACTTGCCTACTATTTAGCATCTCTGGCTAGATGCCTACTGGACACATCAATGTTAACAAAGGAAAACAATTTAAAACAAACACAACCCAGGCTTGGAATTGTGCCCTTGGGAGAAACTCACCCTGACAATGTACTGTGATTCAGTAAAACTAGAAATTCAACTCTTAGAGAGTGACCCCTGCACTGAGGTTGGAGCCCCTTAAATTGTATGACAAGATAGAATAAGGTCTCTTCCCTGAAGTCATCAAGAGCTGGGGCCCAAGAGCATTCATGTCCTGTACACTTAACTTCCACTCCTGCCCCTCACCTTGGCATCACTGGGTGGAGAGGTGCCAGACTCTCCCAGGGCACCATCAGTGAGGGCCGTCACATCTCTTTCAGTGTCATATTATCCTCCCTTCTATTCTGCATTTGGCGGTATCGATCACCTCCCCACCAGAGTTGTGCGTCCCTACAGCTCTGTAGAAAGTCTAGTCCATCTCTGAAAGGTCAGCAAGAAGGGACATTGGGTCGACCGAGTTTACCAGTCAATATCAACAAGTAATTTCCTTGTTACCAACTGTCCTCACTTCTGCCATTTTTCCATGCATTGCAGGCACAGTAAAAGCCTTTATTTCTAGTTGCCTATTTCATACTCCTAAGCCCAGTCAACCATTAGCCTCAGATTTCTCGCTAACTTTACCTTAATCCAAGCCACCAATTTCTCTTCATGGGTTATTATTATATTTGGCCTTTAAATGACTTCTTTGCTTCTACCCTGGAAACCTCTATCTACTTCTCAAAATGGAAGCCCTAATGGTCCTTTTCAAATTAATATTTTAGAGGAATAAGCTGGGCTCTTTCATGCCTTGTGACTCCAGCTTCATCAGAGTGACTCTCTCTAGCTCACTTTTCCCATCTACAAGTTCCTTGTCCCAGTCCTTAAGCCTCTTTAGGGGCTGGGCTTTCCACCTGCATTTCTCTTCCAGGAAATGGCTTCCTCTAGTTGCCTGCTTGATTCCCTTCCTCATTTTATTCTGATCTCTGCTCAGTGGTCTCTTTTTCAGTGAAACCTTCTCTGAACACTGAACACTTCCTTGTCTGGTGCTTTCTTTCTCTGTTTCCTATGTTATTTCTTTTTCATACCACATAGCACCCTTTCAGTTAAATTTCCCCTCCGCTTACATAGAGATGCTCGGTGCGTGAGAGCAGTTATCTGCTTGCTGCTTTATTTCCAGCTGCTGACCAGTGTTCTGCACCTGGCGGTGCTCAGTAAATACATGTTTGATGCCAGAGCAAACAGATGGATATTCACCATGTTAGGTGTTTTAGATACCTTCATTATAATTTTAGCTTATTACGATTGCTAAAATGTTAAATACTATATGCACGATACTACATTTGTTCAAAGTCAAAATCTCAGTGGCTTATAACTACATTTATTTCTTACTGATAAGGGTGTGGGGTGGCTTGGAACAATAATAAAAATGATGCCTATTTCATATATATTTCCTGTTCATCATTCTGTAGAATTCTATGCAGGTCCAGTCTGTATATCTCTGTTCCATATGTCCTGTCTGTCTCTGACCACGGCTGGAGGAGCATCCATCTTTCTGATGTTCTGCTGTCTGATTAGAGGATGGATAAAACGTAGGCACAGTTACAGTTTGCATTCCATACAGTTTCTATACATCATCTCTACTTGGAGCTATTGCTCAGAGCAAGGCATGTGGTCAGACCAGCCGGCAAGGAGCAGGAAAGTTTTCTTCCCTTGCATGAAGCCTGGCAAAGGCGGGGAGTATAGAAATTCCTTAGAAGAGAAGAAGCTGATAAACAGGCACCTTAATGCAATCGGTTGTTCAGATGTCTTGTCTCACATAATCTTACAACTTTTTAAGGGTCTAGAATAGTGTGTGGTCCCTCATAGATGAATGTTGATGTTGAATGTTGAGTGGGATTTGTAATTGCTGTCATTTTAGGGAGAAAATTAAGAAGGAGATATTTTTCCTAGAGGCACCTAGCTGTAAGAGGGAGAACATAAACATGGAAACAGCCCATTTGCCCACCAGTTGGAAACTGGATAAAGAAGTTGTGGTTTTTCTATAAAATGGAATACTACTCAGCCATCAAGAATGAGAAATTAGAGTCATTCATAGGAAAATGGATATATTTTGAGGATATGCTCCTAAGTGAAATATATAAGTCACACATGTGTAAATACCAAATAATTTCTCTGGTGTGAAAAATTGTAATAGCACACAAGATCCTAATGAGATAATTAACAATGTAAAATAGGAAGAAAAGGGCTAAAGGTGTAAGGAAAGTGGGAAGGTAGGAGAAAGGTAATAAGGGAGAGGAAAAAAATATGAGAAACTGAAAAAATGGAAATAAAGTGTTTGTAAATGGGGAGGGAGGAGGGAAACCTGTCATGTAAAGGTACAAGATCCCAGTAATGAATGTAACTGTACTGTATACCTAGAATGTACCAATAAACTCCATAAAAATAAAAAGAAAAGAGGGAGAACATGATGGTGTGCATTTCTTGGAACCATAGTTTAAACCACTAGTATTATATTACTCATTAAACACACTTAACTCTGCAAGGAAGAGGGACAACCTCCATTTTAAACTTAAAAGTAAAAAAATAAAGAATACAAGTGGCCTGGATGAGAAGACAAAGTTCAGAGCAGAAATGAGACGGTAACCTAAACTTAGGGTGTGGTTTTGATGGCCAGGATTTTTCCCACAGCTCATTCCAGTCTGAGTTTCCAGAGAATTCTTGTGACCTTGGAGGCAGAGCAGGAGAAAAAAACGAACATAGAAAGGCAACATGAGTCACCACAAGGAGGTCACTTCCCCTCCATCCTGTGAACTCCGTTCTGTGGCTGACAGTTCCGAGGTGGAGGAGGAAGAGTTGCCCCTGGCGTAGCAGACGTGTGGAGTATCAGTTACAGAGTGTTAGTCCCAGTTTTCTGCTTCAGATTTTGGAAGAAAAACAGGAAACTTTAACAACCCTCTGAACCGTCTGGTTTTTGTGTTGGCCCCTTAACAAAACAAAACAGGACAAAAACCACAAAGCCTGTTGAAGCTGTATTTTTTAATAAGTGGATCTGAGGCAATCTTCGTAAGAGGAATGAACATGAAAATAAAAATAAAAAATGAGACCCTCAATAAAAATATAGCTCATTTTCTTCCCATAGCAGCATTAGCAGGGGTGAGACTAACGCTTGTAGGTTTGCTTACAGACATCAGTCTGTTTTCTGTATTAACTGATGTCATTTTTCCTCCTTTAGGCAATAAAACAAAACAAGGAAAGTTAAAATTCACATTCACACAAGAACAAAATATTTACCTAGTCCTCAAAGTACAGGTTTAGATACTATCTGTGAATGTTATTTTATAGAAAATGGCACAAAATTGGATTATTCTATTTTTATCTCTTTTCTCAGCTTCAGCCTTCCTTCGTCCCATGACTGCCTTGTTACTGTTAACCTCAGTTCTCCAGCACTCCTGACTGAAATTCCACTGTCACCTTTGAATTTCCCCTGAAACGCTTCCATTTGTAAATCTGACCACTGCAAGTCCAAATATTTGTTACATCTGCTCTGCTCTTTCAGGTTTCTCTTCCGTGACCCTGGTTCAAGACAGTGTTGACTTGAAAGGGAAACAAGTGTAAACATTCATGAGTTTCTCCTCAGTAGTTATTATGCCATTAATTAGTTTCTTTTCACCTTGTCTTATAACATCATCATTTACTTTTCTGGTTCTGCCTTTTCATTTTCTAATTCCCTGTGTTTCTCATTTAATTTTCAAGTCTTTGTCAGTTATGGCTATGCCTCCGTTGTTTCAGTACTTGGATGATATTCCCCCTTTTTGCAGCTTTGTTGAGATATAGTGGCCAATATACTTAAGTGGTACCATGGGATGTTTTGACGTATGTCTGTACTGTGAAATAATAACTGTACTGTGATCAAGGCAATTAACATATCTGTTGCGTCACATAGTTAACCTTTGGTGTGTGGTAAGAATATCCATGTTCTACTTTCTTAGAGTGTTTCAAATATATAATACATACTCAGTTCTACTCAGCAGAACTTGCTCATCTTAGAATTCAGAGTTCGTACCCTTCGACCAACATCTATCCAGTAACACCACCAGCTCACCATTATTCTCCATCTCTCTTCTCGATTTTTTGTGAGCTTTACTTTTTTAGAGTTCATTTAAAAAATAGAAATCATGCAATATTTTCTGTTTGGCTCATTTGATTTGGAATAATGGGTGTGGTATTATTATGTTAATACCATCAAAGCAGTATTTCCTCATTTCTTTTAGGCTGAATTATATTCCAGTGTGTGTGGGGGGCACATATTCCTTACCCATTCATCCATCCCCACACTTGGCTTCTTCCATATTCTGGCTGTTGTGATTAATGCTGCCGTGAATGCAGGTAGCTCTCGGAGAAAGTGACTTCATTTTTTTTCTGGATTCACACCTACAAGTGGAATTGTTGGCTCAAATAGTAGTTC